TTCGTCCTTTAATCTACAGCTAAATACTGATTTCATCAATTATGCAACATTAATTATATTTTTAAGATATGAAATAGTGCATGAATATAACAATTAAGTTTAAGGCATTGACATATATCACATATATCTTTCCCTCTTTAGGACATTGACATGATTATCTTGTTTTGCAGGACATTCACATATATATAAAGGCTTTGCATGCAATCAGGCAACAAGCAACATGCAAACGGCAACATGACAAACTACTTGGATATGTAATTTCTTAACCGCGTCGTCTCCTACATGACAAACTACTTGGCACTGACGGTTATTAGCTGCGGAGAATGAGGCGGTAGGAGTTGTCAATCTGAAGGTAAAATCTATTTAAATTCGTGATTTTCCAAATTTTGGAGATGTTTTCTATTGCGAAAACTCTTGAAATTTGTTTTTTTCCAGTTCTTTATTGGTTGTGTCGGTTGGCATGCTGAAGATGTTTGAGAAGTTGCTACAGAAATTTATTGTGTGTTGGTTGGTGCCCTGATCATGTTTACAGAAGTTTAGTTGAGGACGATTGACATTGACATATATATATATATATATATATTCATATATATATATATATATTATATATATGATATATATATATATATATATATATTATATATATATATATTATATATATATATATATTTTATATAAAATATATATATTATTATATATATATAATATATTATATATATATATATTATATATATGTTTTGTTGCATCAGGTAACATGCACATGCAAAGATCAATCATGACAAATTATTTTTGATATGTAATTAATTGTAAAAAAGTGGGATTATATAGAGGAGAAACATGAATGCAATAAGATGTAGAATTACCTAAGCTAGCGAGATGAGCTGGTGAGAGCAATTTTTTTTTGAGTGAATTATGAATGTAATAATTGTATTATACTAGGATTATATAGAGGGAGTAAACATCTGAGGGGGGAAATCTATTTGGAGAGGAATTTCAAAAAAATGGAGAATATAATCTTTTTTTTGGGGTGGGGGTGGGGGTGGGGTGTGGGTTATTTTAAATCTTTTATGTTGAATAAAAGCGCTAAACAGTGTAAGTGTAGTGGGTATTAAAAGCTGAGGCTATACTATTTTGGGATTTCCAGATTTATTAGAATTATTAAAAAAAATCAATATAATGGAATATAATAATAGTTTAATGTAGGTTTTGGGTTTCCTTTTTATAAAAGTAATTTTATATATATATATATATTATTATATATATATATATATATATATATATATTATATATATATATATATATATATATATATATATATATATGAGATAAACGGGAGGTGAGCTGGCAGCGTAGGAAATATTTCATGCGGCTGCAAGTGTAATGGCATGTGAGCGCACAAAACGAGTGACTAGTAGGGGGGCTCACATGTCATACACTTGTAGCGCAGGAAATTTCTTCGCTGCCAGCTCACCTCCGGTTTTCTATATATATATATATATATATTATATATATATATATAATATATATATATAAATAATATATATATATATATATATATATATATATATATAATATATATATATATTATATATATCAGAAATGGAGAAGCTGGTAGTCACGATCAAGATCCCAGTGCGCTAACGCTCCTGACTGAATGACCCCTACTTAGTTATGATCTAGTAGGGGGCTTCAACATGTCATAGAGCTATCAGCTCAGGGGCGGTGAGCTGGCTGCTTCTTCTCCAGCAACCTCATATATATATAGTATATATATCATATAATATAATATATATATATATATATATATATATATATATTAATATATATATATATTATATATATTATGGGTATCCTTGTCCATGAGGAGAGGATTCCGTCCTTGACCGTCTCTAAAATCACGATGATTTGAGCGCGATATTATGAATGATCGCTCGCGTTGAATTGATCTACATATCTAAAACCCCAACACACGCCAAGTTTGGGATGATCCGTCGTCGTTTGACCCTCCATCTGAGCGGCCAGTCGTGATAAAGTTCTATCATTAAACAGGGTTAAATATTGATACGAGTGAAATGAAGGGTCAAACGAGACGGGTTCACCCTAAACTTGGTGTGTTTGGGATTTTAGAATATGTAGTTGAAGTTTAACGGAGCGGATTCATCCATAATGTCGCTGCAATCATCGTGATTTTAGAGGTTCAAGGATGAATCATCTCCTATGAAAAGATCACTCATTAATCTCATATATATATATTTATTATATAGATATAATATTATATTATATATATATCATATATAGTATATTATATATATTAGTAATATTATATATAATAATTAACATCTATCTTTAGTTCATTAGAGTAGCTTAAGCATGTTTGATGAACGTATAAACCAGAAATATAAATCAAAAAAAATCTATGCAAGCACGTACGGACTTAAAGTGAGAAGCTAAAATGAGAAACTATAAGCTGCTGATATACGTTGCTTTGGTGTCAGGGTTGCTTAGGTGTCAGGCAAGAAAAATAAAACGACAAAAGTTCGTAAACACGTCCCTATCTATATCCATGCAAGCACGTACGGACTTCACGTGAGAAGCTAAAATGTGAAACTATAAGCTGATGATATACGTTGCTTAGGTGTCTGGCAAGAAAAAAATAAAACGACAAAAGTTCGAAAACAAGTCCAGATACATTGCACTCAAACTCACGCGGTCCCCATGAAACTTGAAACAGCCATATTAGAGGGACTCAGAACGAGAGATTAAGAGAAGCAAAAAAGAAGACTATTTTCAGAGAGAAGACTACGTTAGCAATTGGCCGCCATAAACTCTCGGGGAGGAGTCATAGATTGACATACCCCCTCTTTTGGCTGGAGGGGAGAATGTTGGGATTTACCGTCCAATATTTTTGGGTTGCCTATTGATTAATAGTAATTAAGGCCCATGTTACATTCTCTTTGCAGCAAAAATGGATGGGAGGCGGACCCCACTTGGACTAGGGAAAGGAATTCATGGTTCTTTTATATGGTGATTAATCTCCATAAAATTTCTAACAAGAAATTCCAACTTTTCAAATTACCATGAATATCATATCTTTTGTCATTTTTATGAAAAAAACCAGAAAACAAATTCAAGTTGTTAGCAATTGCCTTGAAATTCGGCTACATAGATTAAGTTATTAGTTAATTATTAAGTTAATAAGTGATTATATCATTGTGATGATTATGAGAAAAGAATTTGGGCAAGCCAAAAAAAAAATAATTTGAATAGTGGGGTACGTAGTGGGGTAGGCAAATCATGATGGTTGTGAAAGAAAATGAAAGATATTTCTCTCAATTAATTAGTTATATATGGATGTTCATGTAAGTATATGTATGGTTATAGAACAATGAGAGGTAATTCATGGTTTAGTGGGATAGCGAAAAGTTCCGACTTTTCAACTTACCATGAATATCATATCTTTTATCATTTTTATAAAAAATGAGAAAACAAATTCAAGTTGTTAGCAATTACCTTGAAATTTGACCATATAGATTAAGTTATTAGTTAATTATTAAGTTAACGAGTGATTATATCATCATAATGATTATGCAAAAAGAATTTGGGCAAGCCAAAAAAAGAAGAACTTTTTTTTTGTTTGAATAGTGGGGTGGTCGGGTGGGCAATTAAATCATGATGGTTGTACGTGAAAGAAAATGAAAGATAATTCTCTCAAAAAATTGAATAGAGAGGTGGTGGGATGGGAAATTAAATCATGATGGTTGTGAAAGAAAATGAAAGATATTTCTCTAAAAAAAAGTTGAATAGTTGGGTACACAATTAAATCATGATGGTTGTGAAAGAAAATGAAAAATATTTCTCCCAAAAGCAATTGAATAGTGGGGTAGTGGGGTGGACAAGTAAATCTCATGACTAAATTTGTAAAGAAGAGACTGATGGTTAAACTATTTAATTTTGAATTTCAAACTTAAGATTTTAACTCATCTAAGACAAACCTACCACTCAAAACTTTAACCGAAAAAAATTTATCTTATTCTCATAATGCAGAGAAAAGAGGTACTCACTAGCTCTTCCTTCATAAGCATTTTATATTAGTTAATAGATGATATTTAATTAATATATTATATTTAATATATATATATATATATATAGTATATATATATATATATGATTATAGCTATAATAATATATATATGAGGATATGGGTATGTTTTGGTATCAGCGCACAAAATTTGTGCTTGGTAGTGGAGGAATGATATTATCGTTCACTTATTCAAATGGGGGGATACATTCAAAAGCGTTGAATGTGGTCCCTCCCAATGACATGAGTGGATGAGAGATGCTACACCTCAACTACAAGCACAAAATTTATGTTCTACCAAGTATTAAACCATCTCTCTCTCATCTTCTTCTCTCTCTATATATGTATATTATAATATATATATAGATATATCAGTATATATAGATTAATATCATATATATAATTATATTATATTCAGAAATATGGAGACCTTGGTTACAATTGCTTAAACAACTTGGTTAGTGATGTGGCCTAATCTTGACCCTACATCACACCTCGAAAGATAGAGCCTCCCACCCTATTCACTAACTCCAATGTAGATTAGGGTCAAAGATTAGACACATCACTACCAAGTGGCTTGAAGCAACTTGTACCAAGTTCTCCATTTTTTCTTCTCTCTCTCTCATATATAGTATGCTATATATTATAATATTGTAGCTTAACATATTTGAATAAACGTATAAACAAAATAATATAAATAAAAAAAAAATCCATGCAAGCACGTACGGACTTAACGGGAGAAGCTAAAAACAGAAACTATAAGCTGATGATATACGTTGCTTAGGTGTCGGGCAAGAAAAATAAAACGACAAAAGTTCGAAAACAAGTCCAGATGCATTGCACTAAAACTCACGCAGTCCCCATGAAACTTGAAACAGCCATATATATATATATATTAGAGGGACTCAGAACGAGAGATTAAGAGAAGCAAAAAAAAGAAGAAGATGGGTTCAGAATTTGATCCAGACTTCATTCAGAAACCCGACCAGCGACCCAACCTCGACATCTCCGAGGCCGAATCAATCCCCATAATCGACCTCTCTCCACTCCTTACCAGTCCCTTCATCCCCGGTGACGATACGCTACCTATAAGAACCCTTGTTGCCGAAATCAAAGCAGCCTGCAGTGAAGTTGGCTTCTTGCAAGTCATCAACCACGGAGTCCCGATCGAACTCCTTGAAAGAGTTCAGTCGGCAGCGAAGGAGTTCTTCGCTCTGCCGACAGAGGAGAAGAGGAGAGTGAGGAGGGACGACGAGAATTTTCTAGGGTATTATGATATGGAGAATACAAAGAATGTTAGGGACTGGAAGGAAGTGTTTGATTTTGCAGTGAATAACCCGATGATTGTTCCGACGTCGAGTGAGGTTAAGGAGACGAGGGTGCAGGAGATTTCGAATCGGTGGCCGGAGTATCCAAAGGATATGAGGTAATTAATTAGTTAGAGGTTATTAACACGTCTTCAATATTGATTCCTTCTCATACTTGCTTTTTGTAGCTGGCACCTTTAGTTGCAATGCAATTAACACCAGCACACGTTGCAACTATTATTACTTGTACCTATAGTTAAAATTGTTTAATTCAATTTTTAAATTTTACGACTCGCATTTCCATAGTTCTCCTTGGTAACTTCTTATATGCAACTTGTTTTTATTTATTTTTTAAAGCATTTAAATTTGAGAATTGAAAATATTTTTAGAAAATAATGTTTTGAAAAAAGTGGCAATACTTTATCAAAAAGATATTTAGCCAACGATAACTTTGTAGTAAAATAATTTTAAAAAATAATATGCTTTTTAGAAACTTAGAGAACAATTATATATTTTTTTCAAAAAATATTATTTTTAGAAAATATTATTATTTTAAATTTTACTTTTGATAAATAAAATAATATTTTTAAAAAATAATATTAATAAGAAATAATTTTTGGAGAAAAATAATGTTTTTGGAAAAAAATATTATTCTATAAAAAAAGATTATTTTATGAAAATATATTGTTTATTTGAAAAAAAAAATATTTTTTGATATATTTATTTTGGAAACAAATGATAATTTTTAAAAAATAATATTTTATAAAGAAATAAACTTTTGGGAAAATAATATTTTCCAAAATAAATGAAACTTTGATAAATAATATTTTCTAAAATTAATATTTTTGAAAAAGAATAATTTGCCAAAAAATTACTTTTGAGAAAAATAATATTGTTCGGGAAAAGTAATTTTTAAAAAATATTGTTTCCAAAATTAAAATTTTTTGATAAAATAATTTGTTGCGACTACAATTGTAACTTAAGTGGATTTATAGTTCATTTTCGTCAGTCAAAAATAGCTACAAGTCAAAAGTTTCAACTACGGTGGTTTTGCAACTATAATTGCAGCTATAAATGAGCGGTTGCAACAAAACAAAATGCATGCAACTGGACAAAAATGGCCTAGTTGCATGTATGTAAACTTACAACAACCCAAGTTACACGCTAGGAATTCTATCTCTACTTTTCAATAGATATATTTCCTCGTGATTTGGATTACAAATAAGTATCTGATAAAACAAAAATATGTTTTGTGAACTCTCTGCCTCATCCGAATGCTTCTACTAACTCCTCTGAAATTCTTTTTTCCACAGAGATGCCTGCATAGAATACGCAAAAGCCGTCGAAAAACTCGCATTCAAACTGCTGGAACTCATGGCCATGAGCTTAGACTTACCAGCCAAGCGACTGAACGGCTACTTCAAGGACTCCCTAAGCAGAGTCCGCTTAAACCGCTACCCTGCGTGCCCCTCCCCTGACCTTGCACTCGGCGTGGGCCCACACAAGGACCAAGGAGCCCTCACCGTCCTGGCACAGGACGAGGTCGGTGGCCTCGATGTCAAGAGGAAGTCCGATGGCCAGTGGGTCCGTGTCAAGCCTGCTCCAAACTCCTACGTCATCAACATCGGCGATCTCATCCAGGTTAAAAAATGGCGTCTATCTAATACTTTTCCAATGTCTGGTCAAATCATTACCATTTGTTAATATAATTATCATATTTTCAACATATAACTAATTGCATATACACCTCGTGTAATATCACTCACTGATCCTGTGCGTTTTTATTAGCACCTAAGCCACGCAATGCCCAGACCACCATTATTTATATAGATGTGGAAATTAATATATCTCCTATACTATACATGTACAAATAACAAAAGGGTAGTCATGAAAATAAATTTCTAATCCTCTATAGTACAGAGTGTTTATCTGTAACTGACCTTGTAATACGAATGTTAACATGGGAGCGCAAGTGATAGGTATCTACGGTATTTACATCTAATGTCATAGAAATTGAGACGGGAGAACCAAATCACCATTCTTCAATGGTAAATCCTATAAGCCTTAATTTCTTCGAAGTAAATCCGATAAATCTGAGAGAGATTTTACATAATCTTTCATTTCCTGACTAGCATTCATGTCTCCGCGAGTCAAAAGAAGAAAAACAAAGACTGTAATTTAACTTATGGAGAAAACCATTCTCATAATTTCTTCATTTCCAAGCAGTTGATATTTCATAGCAAGTTCGTCCATGCAGGTGTGGAGCAATGACAAGTACGAGAGCACGGAGCACAGGGTGTCGTTGAACTCGGAGAGGGAGAGATTTTCCTTCCCATTCTTCTTCGATCCTGCACATCATATAATTATGAAGCCTTTAGATGAACTTGTGACTGAAGATAATCCGGCTAAATACAATGAATTCAGTTGGGGACGTTTCTACAGGTCTCGGAGGAGCAGCAATTTTCAGAAGATGGGAGTAGAAAACTTGCAGATATCTCATTTTCGGAAGAACAATTGAAGTCCGGCCTGCAGGTATATCCTTTTCGGAAGATCAATTGAAGTCATGTAACCGGTTTGTTCGCAACTTGTAGCTGCTTGTGTGCGCTTGTATTCTAAATAAAGATGTCGAAGGGGAACAATTATTATTACTATTATTATTATTATTTGTTGTGTTTGATTCTAAATCAATAGTCGCCTTCTATCCTTTTTTTTTGTCGTACGTACTGAAATTTCACTTTGACGCGTGAATAAAAAGAAGGATTTGGATGTTCTTCACTATGAAGATGACAGCACTTGGCTACAATCGTACCTACCGGTTGTCGCTAGGATGGTCAGTCTGAGTAACCCAGGTTCAAATCATAACATGTGTGAGATTACGTGAGTAAATTAGCCTATTAACGAAGTTAATAATTTGTTTGGAGTTATTTTATTTTTTCAAAATTGATGATTGGTGATAGTTTTATAAATATTGAGATTTGGAGCATAGTTTTGCAAATATGCAGGATTAAGGGTGTATAAATACAAAAGACCTGGAAAAACTTTCAATCACGAGGGTAATTAGTTAATAATGATCTTATATACCATGGGGAATAAAGTGTAAGATCACTCAAAATTTCTCAAAACTCCTTTGGTCCTCTCGTGAGGCCTGAAGACATATCACATGAGTCGAGGTTTCTCGTGAATATTCTCTCTACCCTCATCCGCAAACAACAGAACCAGCGAGATCTCATCCACCTATTTTCCCTCCACCTCTAAATTGTTCTCAACCATTTATATCTTATCCCGTTTGTCTGTTTGTAATAGTGTATATACGAGGGACTACATTGTAAAACATGGTGTATTATGTAATTATATATGTAATTATCATTGTGATATAAATACATACAAGTGACGGCTCCAATCTAGGATTAAAGTCAAATCTTCACTGGTGAATCCTCTCTTCTCTCTTAATATTTCTCATCGTATCATAATGACACCTAAACCCCTAGAAATCAATTTCTTTTATCTCAATCAAAGCGATATTCAGCAATCGTTCAACTCATCTCCTTCTTTTGTTTGAAACCCGAGCAATCTGCATCCTCTACAAAGGTGTGTGATGGCCTCCACATCATCCACATTGACATCAACAACCGTAAAGTTAACTTTACCAACGTTGACTGTACCAACCACGTTTACGTCAGTGATGACTACAATCAATAGCAATTTAATGGCACCCTTGACTCCTTCCCTTGGAGATCCAAGCTTTGTTGTGTTTGATTCTAAATCAATAGTCGCCTTCCATCCTTTTTTTTTGTCGTACGTACTGAAATTTCACTTTGACGCGTGAATAAGAAGAAGGATTTGGATGTTCTTCACTATGAAGATGACATAACTTGGCAACAATTATACCTACCGGCCGTCGCTAGGATGGTCAGTCTGAGTATGCTTCTGATTGGTGGACCCAGGTTCAAATCATAACATGTGTGAGATTACGTGAGTAAATTAGCCTATTAACGAAGTTAATAATTTGTTTGGAGTTATTTTTTTCTTCAAAATTGATGATTGGTGATAGTTGCTGTCAAAAATAAAAATTATTAGCATAAAAATCCGAAATAAAAGAATTAGAAATTCGAGCCTGATCGGGAGCAGCCGTATAAATACTGCCCTAGAAGATTGAAAACCTGCCTATTGTCCTGACGCAGATGGTCCTCTCTCCCCTAGCGATAAAACCCCCGGAATTCGGCTTGTCACTGTACTCAATCGAGAGTGGCAGAGCTTCTGCTCTGATGAAGAACGTTGTCCAAAAGAAAATTAATAGTATCCAACAATTTTCAGAGAGGAGGGAGAAGCTCTCATTTAAGAAAAGGATAGAAGAGATTGTTTTCTATGTATTTTCTCGAATTGGGAAGCCTCTATTTATAGGAGTTGGAAGCTGTAGCCGTTGCTCATAATCCACGCACGTTACTCGTATTCCGCGTAACCTCCGCACAATCTCCGCAACCGTTACATGACCGAGTAAAAAAAAATTGTGTAAAACATGCAAAAATAAAATCTAGAGAAGTAATTCAAAACCCAAACAATACAAAACCCAAAACACTACTCAAAGCCAAATAAGAGGTGAAGCAATATAAACCCCTTACTATTCATCACATTTTCTAATGTGTGACTATTCACAAAGGCAAAAATATTGCCTTTTCATGAACAAAATAGCCAACAATAGTTTTATAAATATTGAGATTTGGGGCATGGTTTTGCAAATATGCGTGATTAAGGGTATATAAATACAAAAAAAAACTGGAAAAACTTTCAATCACGAGGGTAATTAGTTAATATTGGTCTTATAAACCATGGAGAATAAAGTGTAAGATTACTCAAAATTTCTCAAAACTCCTTTGGCCCTCTCGTGACTGAACACATATCGCGAGTCGAGGTTTCTCATGAATACTTTCTACCCTCATCCTCAAACAACATATCCAGCGAGATCTCATCCACCTATTTGTTGTGCGCCGCGGAAGCCCCAAATAGACAATATCAAAAGCACACACAAGAACAATAGTAGACCACAAGAGAACACAAGCTACCAATCACAGCAAGAACACAAGATATACGTGGTTCGGCAATGTGCCTACGTCTACGGGGCAAGGAGGGGGTAGCTTTACTAATTAAATCAAAGGGGAATACAAATTAAGGTTACAAATCTTACCCAAAACCCTCTTACAAGACCACTTGATCTCTCCAATAGACTCCAACAATAGAAGCCCTAGAATCGACCGACACCAACTCTGCCGCACAGTAAGCCTTGTGTACGAATGCGGTCGACCGGACCGGTCGACCGCCACCCGTTCAGACTGAAACCTGAGCCTGAACACTGAATCTGTCATCCTCTGCTGCTGATTCTACAAATCTCCACCTCGGCGAGCGTTTGCCAGAACTGAGCCGACACCAAAAAGCACCCCAAATCAACTTAACCGGCTGCATCTGCAAGACTGCCTACGTATCCTCTTGCCCAAGGAATCAAGCCAAACGTAGTTCATCCAAATGGCCGCCAACGGCCTCAACAATGAAGAATATTCAACAAATTCAAACAGTGACCAAACTTCACACCTGATACAACTTTGGTCAACATATCAGCAGGGTTATCCTTAGTGTGGACCTTCTCCAACGTGACATCACCATCATCTAATACGTCACGTACAAAGTAAAATCTGACACCAATGTGCTTTATGCGTGCATGGTAGACTTGGTTCTTCGCCAAATAGATAGCTGACATACTATCACAATGTACCTGAATGGTCTCCTGTGCAATCCCCAAATCATCCAACAAGCCATGTAGCCACAAAGCCTCCTTCACTGCTTCAGTCACCGCCATATATTCCGCCTCCGTAGTAGAAAGCGCCACTGTAGACTGAAGAGTACATCTCCAACACACCGGTGTACTAGTCAATGTAAAAACATAACCTGTAGTGGACCGACGCTTGTCAAGATCTCCGGCATAGTCTGAATCCACGTAGCCAATACAATCCTGCCCTGTCTCATCATTCTTCGCAAATATCAACCCAACATCCACGGTACCCTTAATATACCGTAGAATCCACTTCACGGCCTCCCAATGCCCCTTCCCGGGGTTGTGCATGTACCTAGATACCATGCTCACGGTCTGTGACAAATCTGGCCTCGTACATACCATAGCATACATCAAGCTACCCACTGCACTGGCATACGAAACTTTGGACATGTAGTCCCTATCCTCCACTGAAACTGGTGACATCAAAGCTGAAAGCTTAAAGTGGGGAGCTAATGGAGTACTCACCACCTTGGTATTACCCTCAAAACTGAATTTCTTCAGCATCTTCTGCAAGTAACTCCTCTGTGTAAGCTTCAATCTCCCCTTCACCCTGTCTCGCTCAATCTCCATACCCAATATCTTCTTAGCCTCTCCCAGGTCCTTCATTTCAAATTCAGATGACAGCTCCTTTTTCAATTTCCCAATAGCTGAAGTGTTCCTAGAAGCTATGAGCATATCATCAACATATAATAACAAATAAATGTGCTCACCATCCTGTAGCTTGCGCATATAAACACACGGGTCATAAGGGCTCCTCGTGTACCCTCGGCCAATTATAAAGCTATTAAATCACTTGTACCATTGTCGCGGTGATTGCTTCAGTCCATAAAGAGATTTCTTCAATTTGCACACCAAATTTTCTCTTCCTGCAGCTTTAAACCCCATAGGTTGTGTCATGTAGATCTCCTCATCTAAGTCTCCATGTAGAAAGGCCATCTTCACGTCCATTTGGACCAAATCTAAGTCCAGCTGTGCCACCAATGCCAATAGTATCCGAATCGACGAATGCTTCACAACGGGTGAAAACACCTCATTGTAGTCAACGCCCTCAAGCTGTGCATATCCCTTAGCAACCAATCTGGCCTTGACCGAATGTCCCCAATAGAAGATACCTCCTTCTTAGCATACACCTACTTGCAACCAATAGCTTTCTTACCCTTCGGTAGCTTTGCAAGTTCCCAAGTGTCGTTCTTCTGAAGAGATTGCATCTCCTCCTCCATAGAATTCCTGCACCTAATGGAATCAGGGCTGGACTCTGCCTCCCTGAATGTGGCAGGAATAAGATCATCAACGACCTCCACAGATAAAGTATATGCTACCATGACATCATCATATCTAGCTGGCCGACGAATCTCTCTCCTCGGTCTATCTGCAGCAATGGACCTCTGAGCATGACCCTGCTCCTGAGCCTCACCATCAACTGTATCCTCCAAAAGCCCAACTGTCATCTCATCTCCTTCCAGTGCCACCTCTGTAGGAGTCTCAATGGACACAGTGCTGACTGGAGTGGGTGGAGTCACATCATTCTCCAACTGCTGTGATATCCCTCCTGTCTGATCTTCCTCCACCTGCTGAGGAATTCGAGGCTTCATCATGTACGCCTCATCAAATGTGACATCTCTGCTAATGACCATCTTCTTGTCTTGTGGATCCCATAATTTGAAGCCTTTTACACATTCTCTAAATCCCACAAAAAACGCCTTCCTCGCTCTCGGATTTAACTTCCCATCACTAACATGAAAATAAGCTGGACACCCAAATATCCGAAGAGTATCATAATCACTAGCCACAGAACCATACCAATGCTCCAAAGGAGTCTTCCCCTCTATCGCAGTGCACGA